ACCCCCAAAAAAAAAAAAAAAGAAAGAGAAAGAAAAAAAAAGAAGAAACACTAAAATCCCGAAGCTCCTCTTCAACTCCCTCCTAGGTGGCATGGGCGGCTGGCGCGTGTGCGAGACCCTCGACAAGACCGGCGGTTTCGGCCCACAGGTGACTCGTCGACGCCTCCTCGAGACGGCCCAGCACTTCCTAGAGGTAGTCCGGGACGTTGACTCTGTCAAGCCAGGCGGTGCCGGTTTCGTCTCGTCGGTGCGTGTACGTCTGCTCCACGCCACCGTCCGTCGACGTATCCTTCAACTTCAGGGCGAGAGCAGCGAGAGCAGCGGCAGCAGCAGCAGTCGTCGTCGTCGTCATCGTCGTCGTCGTCGTCATACTCAGGGTGACACTGGGGAAGAAGAAGTGGGAAAAGAAGAAGAAGAAGGAGAAGAAGAAGAAGAGGAGGAGGAGGAGGAGAGAGTGGAAGGGAAAGTGGAAGGGAAAGTGGAAGAGAAGAAGGGGAGGCAAGGGGACGGCAAGGGACTGTACTATGACGTTGAAGCCTGTGGCGTCCCCATCAACCACCTGCACCAGATGGCCACCATAGACGCCTACTCCACCTCCCTCGTCTTCCTGTCCCTCCCGCGCCAGGGCGTGCGCCTGTCCCCGCGGGAGGCGGCCGACTTCCTCGCCCTGTGGCGCTGGGTGGGATACGTCATGGGCACGCCGGTGGACTGCATGGCCACCACGCTCGGGGCCAAGATGTCGTTCGAGTCCATCCTCGTGTCCGAGGTCCGGCCCTCGGACAAGTCGCGCGTCTTGGCCAACAATATCCTCACCTCGCAGGCCAACGCGCCCCCGCTCTTCGCCTCCCGGGGTTTTCTCGCCGCCGTGACCTACCGTCTCATCGGCGAGGACATGGCCGTCGACCTGGCCATCGACGCCCCCTCCGCGGCTGAGCGTGTGCTTGCCTGGGCGCAGTCTCGTCTTTCCTGGATCGACAGTGCGGTATATCCTTGGCTTCCCGATGTTCTTCGTGAGAGGCGGGATAGGGTTAGTATCCTTTCCTTCCTTCTTCTTTCTTCTTCTCTCTTTCTCTCTTCCTCTCTTCCTCTTCTCTCCTGTTTTTCTCTCTTCCCTTTCTCTTCCCCCCCTCTCATCATCACCTCTTCAGTCCGCAACCTCTTTCTTTCTCTCTCTCTCTCTCTTTATTTTTTTCAAATTTTTTTTTTCAAATTTTCAATTTTTTTCACTATCCGCCTTGCCCCTTCTCCTCCCCCCCATCTCTGTTACTGCTTGACCACGTCCCGCCCCCCTCCTGACAAGGCTGACACCGAAATATAAATCCAGAGATTCATCCAAAACTCATACCACTTCATCATGGACAAGGCCTCGGGAGGTATGGGCCGACCGACAAAGTTCCCCTTCAAGTACAGACCTGCCCACGGAAAATCGACCGGCATGGCGTCCTACACCGTTCCTGGATCCGTCATCCTCCGGTCCATGGACCCGGCCCGCTTCGTCCTGGGCGTGTCCATCTGTCTCGTCGTGCTCGTCGGCCTGCTGGGCTGGTCGGTGCAGGCCGTCTTGCCGTGGGAGGAGGTTGTGGTGCATCATCGTGTCCCGAGGTTTGCCGTCCCATCTGAGCAGGTTTTTTATTAGCTCATCTCTCCTCTGCTCTTCCCTTCATCTCTGTTTCGAATATCCATGCTCCAGCCCTCCTCCTCGCCTTGTCTTCTTCTCCTGCGCTGTGCCAGCATGGCATGTACATGTACAGAGAATAGTGATACTTGGCTCAGAAACGGATGTCATCATGATGAAACGTCATTATATGAGAGTCATGTAAGATTGCCCTTTTTTGACCTGACCTATAATACGTGAACAATTATATCGAAACAAGAAAAGCTCACCGGAAGCCACAGTAGAGATGAGTGCATGAAACAGATTGAATCAAAAAGAAAAATTGTATTTCCAAGCGCCCAAGGATGCTGACCGATGGATCACGTCTTGGCTAGAAAAAAAAAAAGAGAGAAGAAATCATGAAACGGAGAAAAAAGTTACACAAGAGGAAGGCCACATTTCCGAATGCTCCCGTACCAACGCCACGCGCACGAATATGCTGATAGAAGAAAGGATGAGACGAGAAGAAAGAGGAGGGTATGAGGGAGATGAAAGAGGAGAGAGTACAACGAGAGCCGTGCTCAGGAGTTGGCCAGCTCGACAGGAGGGAGAGAGGTATGGGCGGTGATGGGACGGGGCTCGCGGTCGTCGTCCATGTCGTCAGTCGTATCCTCGACGACGACGGCGGGCATGTTGGCGCTGTCGTCCTCGGGACGGTAGATGAGGGTCGAGCTGCGGCTGCGCATCTTGAAGCCGCGGCCGGCGGGCTGGTCGGCTACGGGCGACTGGTCGGGCGAGTTCTGGGTGTGGAAGACGGGGCCGGGGGCGTCGTGGCTGAGCTTGGCGAGGGCGGCGGCCAGGTCGTCGGCGTGGACGAGCTTGTTGGGGGCGTCCTCGAGGCGCATCTCCCAGCCGTGGGGGGGGCTGGGGGGCGGGGAGATGAAGAAGAGCTTGCCCGCGTCGGGCAGGGCGAGGTGCTCCCGGCGGGCGTGGACGGGGGTGTTCTGGCCGAAGTAGATCTTGACGCGGTGACCCATGATGGCCTCGCCGTCCCAGATGGAGCGCACCCGGATGGCGCTCTCCTCGTCGAAGAAGGAGACGACGATGCGGCAGAAGGACCTGAGCGGGCTGAAAGCGTGGATGAAGGCCGAGGCCGAGATCAGGTTGCGGATCGTGGCCAGGTTGTCGGGCCTGAAGATGTCCGGATCCGTCAGGTTGGTGAAGAGGAGCGTGTTGGAGGGAGGGGTGGGGGGGATGAACGGAGGTAGGCTGGATAGGTCGAGAGATAGGTTGGACTTGCGAGACGTCGTCGACGAGGAGCGAGACGGCCGATGCGAGTGGCCGAGGGTGGCGGCGGCGGTCGGTTGATCGGTGGACATGGTGGGGAATGTGTGTGTGTGTGTGTGTTTTGGAGGGAACGGTAAACACTAGAGAAGCAATAGCAGGGAGGTGGGAGAGGAAGAGGAAGGAGAAGAGGAACGATGGTGGCAGGATATACTATAATTCCTTCTCTTGTCCTGTCATGAAAATTTTCTAGTAGGGCGATGGATGAAGTTGGATGGAATAGAGAGAGAGTTGAGAAGGGAAGGGATCGGTCCAACGGGAGAGAAGATGCTGACCTTTAAGATGGATGAAGAGGGGAGATGGTAGAGGAACGAGGGAGAAAGAGAGGGGCGCAGGACTCGGTGGCAGTGTTCGGCGGCGCCTACGGACCAACGGTACATGTACTACGGAGTACCGGGTGGAGAGAGAGGTTGGCAGGCGCTAAAAAGGGTCCAGCTCTCTGCAGACTGCAGTAGGAAGTGCGTGTACGAGTAAGGGCCGAGCAAGCTGGGACGCGGCTTTGACAGTGGCGGCGCAGTCCCCCGTCAGTGGGCACCGTCAGTGGGCACCGTCAGTGGGCACCGTCAGTGGGCACCGTCAGTGGACCTTGGACCGCTGTCAGCTGGCTGTCCGCAACTCGTATCCTTAACTGGACTCTCCAGGTCCCGCGGAATTGTTTGCAATGATACGAGTGGCTGTAGCGACTCTGATATCACGGCAGTTGTTATTATTATAAGAAGAAGAAGAAGAAGAATCAATTCTTTTGCCCCCCAAGGGCATCTCAGCATCTCAGATCCCATTGCCACGCCTGTCAGGTTTCGACTACGGCCACCCCTGGGGTCCCTGGGGCCCCTGGGGTCCCTGGGGACGCACCTACAGCCTGCACTCTACAGGTCACAGCCTGCTGCAGCCTACGCTCTACAGGTTACAGCCTACAGGTTACCTGTGTACGGGCTACGGCAGCCGCCATCCCGCCACTCCGTCCTCGAACGCAACCCCCACAGCCTGGTATGATGCCGACTGGAGTAGTACGGAGTAGTTGCTCATACATGCAATCCGTACAGATCCATCTCACGTACCCCGTACCAGGGCCAGGCCACAGCTTAACCGGTATTGCCGTGACCAGCCCACCGCGGAGTGGGAAGAGGCTGTGCTCGACATGTTTGATTGCACCCGGGAGGCGCAGAGCAGGACAAGACGTTGCGCTGTCTTGCCTCTCGGCGTTCTGCGAGAGGACCCATGACGGCTGTGCGTATTCCCCTCGCTGCTGCCGTCGTCGTCGCTGTCGTCCGTCGCTGTCATCGCCATCGTCCTCGTGTATTCCGCTCATGCTCGACACCTTCCCTTCTGCCTCATCCTGGGGAGGATGAGACGAAGGGCGGCGGTGCATGTGCTGCCAAGCTTCGTGTACCGCTACCGCGACAGCCGACATGACCGAGAGTCACCGCCGGATCCGTCGAACGTGACCGGATTTGCGGCATTCTGGCCATCCTTCCGTCAGTGCCGACGACTTCCACCTCTTGGCGTCTACTGGCACCGATAGGCTTCGTTCTGCTAGGTGCAGATATCAATACTAGTCATCAGTATACGACAGCACGAGACGTCGGAATGATACAATAATCAGCCGACAGCACCTTTTTCCTCTCTCTTTTTTTCCCCGAAATAATATAATTATCAGCCGACAACACCTTCTCCTCTCTCTCTCTCTCTCTTTTTCCTAAAAAAAAAAGAAAAGAAAAAAAGCTCCCATGCTTCGATGATGATGGGTAGACGGGATACGATGATACGTGATGGTAGTTCTGATACAAAACAGGCTGTGCTCCTCTTTATATACAGTATAGTATTAGCAGTACAGTGTAGCACACATGGGTATGGAACGAGGCCATGCCATCTACCGCAGCGTCACGCCCAGCTCCCTGGTGAGAGCCTCGCACACCCGGTCGTGCAGCTCGTTCGTCTCGGAGCTGGTCAGGGTGCGATCCCAGCTCCGGTACACGATGCGGTACGCCCTGCTCTCCCTCCCCGTCTTGGGGTGGGTGAAGGCGTCGAACTGCTTGACCTCCTCGACGGTATCGCCCCCGACGGACCTGACAATCTCCATCACGTCGTTCTCGTGGAAGGCATCGCCCGCGGCTCCATCCCGGCTGCTCCGGGGCAGCCAGAACGACAGGTCCCGCGGTGCGGGCGGGTACTTGGAGAAGGGGACGAAGCTCCTCAGGCCGTCCAGGTTGTCCTCCACGCCCTCGAACTGCGAGAGGAACCGGCGGTCGCGCGACCAGAAGAGCCGGATGTCGGGGATCCTGAAGAGCAGCATGGCCAGGCGGTCGATGCCGATGCCGAAGGCCCAGCCGAGCTTGTGCGGCACGCCGGCGTCGATGTACAGGTGCTGCCTGACAACGCCGGAGCCCAGCATCTCGAGCCAGTCGCCGGCGTAGTAGACCTCGAGCTCCCACGAGGGGCTCGTGAACGGGAACGAGGCCTCGACCCAGCGCATGCGCAGCGGCTCCTCCGCCCCCTCCCCCTCCCCCTCCCCCTCAGCGGGACGTCGCACCTCGGCGCCGTCCAGGGCGGCCCTGGCCCTCTCTGCGCGGGAGAAGACGTCGACCACCATGTTCTCGAGCGAGCGCTTGAGGTGCGCCGTGATGGCCTGCGCCTCGGCGGGGGAGTGGTGCTCGCCCTGGAGCGGGTTGCGCTCGGGGTGGAAGGCCGGGGTGTCGTCCTCCACCTCGACGCCGTGGCGGGGGAGCAGCTCGACGTCGCGCATGATGGCGGCGGCCACGTCCCCGTCCGGGACGAGGCGGCGGTCCCACGACCGCGCCGCCTCCATCTGGTGGAAGACGGGGTAGTGGCTGCTGTCGATGGCGTCGCGCCGGTACACGTCGGCGGCGATGAGGTAGCCGTCGCTCTCGTCGGCGCGGAACGTGTCGGCCTGGTGCGCGCTCGTGTGGGTGCGCAGCAGCGTCGTGGCGTTGACGTAGTACGTGTCCGAGCGGGCGCGGCCCGGGTGGTCCCGAGGGAAGCCGAGAGAGTCGAAGTTCTGCTCCGTCGTCACCACCGGGCTCAGCGCGTGGTGACACCGGTACGTCGGGGGCGGGAAGCTGGCCTCCAGTATCTTGCGCGTGATCGAGATGGGATGGTCCTTTTGCATGTGAAGCCCGCGGGAGGTGGCTTCCAGCACGTTGGGCGGCACGTTGAACCATCTGTCCGTCTTGTATGTCGATCCTCGTATCGTCACCGATGAGGGTGGTGGTGATGATGTTGCTGTTGTTGTTGGGGAGGGGGAGGTCTCGTCGGCTTCTATTTATTTGGAAGATGAGAAGAAAGTGATAATAAAAAAAAGGTTAGATCTCTCTCTCTCTCTCTCTCTCTCTCTCTCTCTCTCTCCACGCAGCTGATCATTTCTGCCTCTCCGCTGTCTGGATAGCACCCACTGGAAGAGTATGCCCTCGCGACTACGACGAGACACGACTGCCCCTGGTAGCGGCAGCAGCTCCCGGCTGGTCGACGATAGGCTGTAGAGAGCAGTCGGCGCATGGCCAGAGACGACTGCACAGGTCTCATGACCGTTCTCGATTCGAACACACCCGATTGATAGTAGATAGAGATCGTTAATCGCGGTGTTCTGCCGTCCAGACAGACGGGTAGATGTCCATCAAGAAAAGGAATACAACAGAAAAAAAAAAAGAAAAAAGAAAAAAAACACCTCCAAGCTCTCACCTTTCTACGTTGCCGATTCGGACCTCTCCACATCCCACTTTATTTGGGCTCTTGACCAATGAGAAAATCCATTATTAATTCCCCTTCAATTCAATTTCCTCGTGAATGGGGAATGAGTCGATCCTGTCGGAATAACGACGACAAGTCTTTTTCGTTCCCGCATGATCCCATTCCCTTGCGTTTCCTTCTCTCTCATCTCTCTCTCTCTCACCCTCCGTTGTGTGCCCCTCTCTCTCTCTCCCTCTCTCTCATTCTTCCCATTCGTCTCACTCCTGAATGTTGCCTACTCATTTACCCTGAATGGAGTCCCGTACATCTTCCCAACGTCTCACATCGTATTGCTGCTACTCATAGAGCTTCTATAGCTTACCCGAGCCGTAACCGAGGCGAAACACCGTTGCGACAACGGACATACGCAAATCATGAGCGGCACCACCACCACCGCCGCCAGCGTACATGACGCAGAGTCGTCGCCGGCCACCAAGCAGAAGAAGAAGAATGCTTCTACGCCTGTGCATTATCCGTTCTGGTTCGGCGGGAGTGCCAGCGGTATGGCTGCATGTGTGACACATCCGCTCGACCTCGGTATGCTCTTTCCCTCTTCCTCCTCTTCTTCTTCTTCTTCTTCTCCTTCTCCTTCTCCTCCTCCTTCTTCTCCTTCTTCTTCTTCTTCCACGGTCTAGAAGGCTGACGAGCATCTCATACGAAAAAAAAAAAAACAGTCAAGGTACGTTCTTGTCTCGGCTCGAATCGGTGAGGGGAGGCAAGGCCATTGGGAACTGACGAACGCAAACAAATCAACCACAGGTCCGACTGCAGACTCGCACCGGCGATGCGCCGAAGAACATGTCGGGCACATTCGTCAGCATCTTCCGAAAGGACGGACCGCTGGGCCTGTACAGCGGTCTGTCGGCCGCCCTCCTCCGGCAGCTGACCTACTCCACCGTCCGCTTCGGCATCTACGAGGAGATGAAGTCCCGCTTCACCGCCGGCCCGGACGGCGAGCAGATCAAGCCGTCCTTCCCCCTCCTCGTGGCCATGGCCTCCAGCTCCGGCCTCGTCGGCGGCGTGGCCGGCAACTTCGCCGACGTGCTCAACGTGCGCATGCAGCACGACGCCGCCCTCCCCGTCGAGAAGCGTCGCAACTACCGCCACGCCGTCGACGGCATGGTCCGCATGGCCCGCGAGGAGGGCCTGGCCAGCTGGTTCCGCGGCTGGCTGCCCAACAGCGGCCGCGCCGCCGTCATGACGGCCAGCCAGCTCGCCAGCTACGACGCCTTCAAGAGGCTGCTGCTCGATTACACCCCCCTCGGGGACGACCTCACCACCCACTTTTCCGCCTCCTTCCTCGCCGGCCTCGTCGCTGCCACCGTCACCAGCCCCATTGACGTCATCAAGACCCGCGTCATGTCTAGCTCGCACAACCTTGGCATCCTTCGTCTGATCGGGGACATTTATCGTACCGATGGTCCCGGATGGGTCTTCAAGGGATGGGTGCCCTCTTTCTTGCGTCTCGGACCGTGAGTTCTCTCCTCTCCGTATTTCTCTTTTGCTTTCTTGACTTTCCCCCTTTTCGTGGTTTTCTTCTTCTTTTTCTTTATATCGTCCCCCCTCCCCTTCCTATCGTTGTCTGACCCACCACCACTAATACCTCCCTAGTCATACGATATGTACCTTTGTCTTCCTCGAGATGCACCGTAAGACATATCGAAACCTCAAGGGACTGGAAGAGCCCACCCTGTAGACATCTGACCTTGTCTCTCTTCACCTTGCTCATTCTTCTATACGCCCTCCCTTCCATCTCTCTCCCCTTCTTCCTGCCATCAATCCCTGCACGAGTGACCAGTATAGAGGAGGATATCCTGCCCGCATTTTCTCTCGTCCTAGTTTTCATCACTGGCGTTTGACCTTGGATTTTTCTTTCCGTCCTCAGTCTTCCCCTCACATTTGTTAGTAGAGTGTTGTTTTTGTTCCATATTTGTTGCTTGTCTTTGGTCTATCCATATTCTAGATATACTGGGCAGCCGATAGAGAGAGTCAGAACGGTGATAGAAAATGGCCATGAATAGACTACCAGTGACCACCAGTGCGTGAAAGAAGAAAGAAGAAAGGGGGGAGGGGGGGGGGGAACGACTTGATAAAGGGACTTGGTTATTCTATATGTTTATATTTATTCTTGATTTACAATATGCTCGCCCATCCTTGCTTCCCTCGTTACCAAGATTTTTTTCTCTCCTTATACTTCTCTTTGCAATATCGTCACTCTTCTTCGTCGCTCCTCTCTCTTGTTTTTTTGATAATACATACTAGAGGAGCGTGACAACAAGATGGAAAAAAAAAGTTGTCGTCTTGGGGGGTTTGAAAAGCACCCGCCTCCTCCTCTACTCAACAACCTAGCACACAGAAACCCGTCCAACGCCGTGTCCCGAATTCGATAGCTACTACTACCGTACTGCTGCTGCTACTGCCAAGTCGACTGTCCATACGCAGTTCCGTACGACGTCGCGCCTCCTCCATAGGCAGTCTGGCCACCACCCTGACCGTAGGCCGTCATGCCACCACCATAGGTCGTGGCGGCGCCACCGTAAGGGGTGGTGTAGCCCTGGTCCTGCCAGGGGGTGCCGGCGCCGTCGAGGGCCATGTCTGGGCTGCGGGGGCCGCCGACGCCGTCCATGTCGGCCTCGTCGCCGCCGTACTTCTTGGGGTCGAGGCCCTTGAGGAGGCCGCCAATCTTCTGCTGCAGCACGCGGATGCCGCCCTGGACGATCTGGTCCGGGTCCATGCAGCCCGACGTCTCTACGTCAAAGTAGAAGCGTACAGGTTTGGCGTCGTAGTCGAAGGGTTCGCCCTCTTGTGGGGGGTCTTCCCACTCGGCGTACTTGCTCTTGGGCCTAGTTCGGGTTCAGAGGTCAGGAGAGGAAGGGTGATGAAAACAACACGAGAAGGGAGAGAAGACACATGTATGGATGAATATATGGGGAGGGATGAGGACGAGCTGTAAAGTGGGTAAAAACCAAAAAAAAAAAAAAAAAAAAAAAAAAACACCATGAGAAATAAGACAAAAACGTACCACTCCTTTTCCGGATCCGTGTCGTTCTCATACCACATGTCGGTGTGGTGAAGCTTATTGTGAGGATCGTACTCGAAGCCGACGGCCGATGTGGGCATCCACTTGGCGTGCTCCTTTGCGATGCCCTTCTTGGCGATGCAGGTGATCTTGAGTTCCTGGTCCTTACGGAGCTTGGCGATGAGGCAGCCCAGCCCGTCCGGGTCGTTGATTACGGGCTTGCCCACCGAGCTCGAGTGCCTCCCGTCGGCTACCATGTCGCTGGCGTACACCTTCATGATGTCGTCCGACTGGCACTTGGCGTTGAGCGTCAGCGTCACGCTGCACTGCTCGCAGTACTGCTCGCAGTCGCAGTCACGCGAGTAGTTGAGCTCCCCGACCGCCTTGGAGTCCAGCGGGATCAGCCCCAGTCGATGCGCGATGAACTCGTCCGCCAGCACCGACGTGTTGACCTCAATCTCCACCAGGTCGATGGCGATGGTCGGCACCTCGGCCTGCATCACTCGCCGCAGGCTGTTGGCAAAGGACAGCGGCGTCTTGGAGAGCTGGAATTCGACGTGCATTGGGTCGGCCTATGGTTTTTTTTTGTTTTTTTGGCATGACCTCCCTTCTGTTCAGCAAACCGTGACCGTACCAAGAGAGAGGGGGAGAGAGAGAGAGATGGATGGAAGAGAGGGTCAATCCCGCGTACCGCTGAAATCTTCACCTGGGGATGCTCCGAATCCACATCCATCGCCATGGGATCATAGTCCATGCCGTCCATTCTGGCGATGCGCAAACGGGCTTGCGCCGCTCACCGTCGTCGTCGTCGTCGTCGTCGTCGTGTTGGTACTGCTTGCTGCGCGCGAGCTTTCCGTCACAAGGTCGAGGTCGAATTCGGGTTCGGAGTGCAAAGTCGTCGTTTCCTCGTGCAATTGCCGATGAACGTAACGTTTCCCTCGCCGCGCGATGTAGGGTTGCCGATGGTGATGGTTGAGAATGGAAGCTTCTACTCGGAGAAATCGCCCTTGTCACACATCTGCTGCCATCCGGGGGGGCCTGGTGGCGACGCCTTAGTAAGCCACGAGAATCTTATCGGTGAATGATAAGACAGGGAAGGGGAAAAAAAAAAAGGAAAAAAAGCAAGTTCAACATCAGCCTGACTATAATTTTCCCCACCATTGACCGACAAATCTTTTGACGAAACGACGAGAATTTTGACAAAAAAAAATCCATTCGATCGCGGACCGAAATCGTCGTTCCCTCCACCCCTCCCGTTTACGAAGCTATATGAGGATACCCCGAAAGGACCAGAGGTTCGACGAAAAATGAAGGTCAAGGCCCTCACGCGGTCGGTGGCCGACCACCAACCACCCGGGTCCAGCACATCCAAGCAGCCTCGCAACCTGGACCCGGCGCTGCACCCGTTCGAGCGGGCGCGCGAATACACCCGGGCGCTGAACGCGACCAAGCTCGAGCGGATGCACGCCAAGCCGTTCGTGGGGCAGATGGGCCGTGGCCACGTGGACGGGGTGTACTCGATGGCCAAGGACCCCAACTCGCTGGAGCGGGTGGCGAGCGGCAGCGGCGACGGCATCGTCAAGGTGTGGGACGTGACGGACCGGGAGCAGCTCTGGACGGCGCCCGCGCACGACCACATCGTCAAGGGCATGGAGTGGACGCTGGACGGGAAGCTTCTGACGTGCGCGGCGGACCGGACGGTCAAGCTGTGGGACCCGTCCCAGACGTCGGCGTCGCCGCTGTGGTCGTGGCTGGGCGCGGGGACCTTCTCGTCGCTGTCGCGCCACCGGTCGCGCAGCGCGTTCGCGGCGGCCGCGAGCGACCACGTGGCCGTGTACGACCTGGAGCGGCACACGGCGGCGCCCGAGGTGCTCAAGTGGCCGACGTCGGTGGACTCGGTGACGGACGTGGCCTTCAACCAGGTCGAGACGTCGGTGCTGGCGTCCTGCTCCAACGACCGGTCCCTGGTCATCTACGACCTTCGCATGTCGACGCCGGTGACCAAGACGGTCCTCACCTTCACGGCCAACCGCGTGGCCTGGTCGCCCATGGAGGCCTTCAACATGGCCGTCGCCTCCGAGGACCACAACGCCTACCTCTTCGACACCCGACGCATGGACCGCGCCCTCAACGTCTACAAGGACCACGTCGCCGCCGTCATGGACGTCGAGTTCTCCCCGACGGGGGAGGGCCTCGTCACCGCCTCCTGGGACAGGACCGTCCGCCTCTGGGACCGCAACCGCGGCCACTCCCGCGACGTCTACCACACCAAGCGCATGCAGCGCGTCATGGCCGCCCGCTGGACCCCCGACGCCCGCTACGTCCTCTCCGGCTCCGACGACGGCAACGTCCGCCTCTGGAGGGCCAACGCCTCCGACCGGGAGGGCGTCAAGTCCGCCCGCCACCGCCAGTCCCTCGAGTACAACAAGGCCCTCACCGAGCGCTACGCCCACATGCCCGAGCTCAGGCGCATCAGCCGTCACCGCCACATCCCGACCGTCATCAAGAAGGCCGGCGATATCAAGGCCAAGGAGATCAAGTCCATCAAGCGCCGCGAGGAGAACGAGAGGAGGCACACCAAGAAGCAGTTTGAGAGGCGCAAGAATGAGCGTGAGAAGATGGTCATCACGAGGGAGAAATGATTGCTCACTACACCCCCGTGTCGGCAGTCTTCACATCATCTCTACCATTATATACGGACGAACAAGGAAAGGAAAGAAAAGAAAAGAAAAGAAAAGAGAAAATCGGTGGTTTGGTAGGAGGGGGGGGGGGGGGGGGG